TCCAACGGTGTTAATGTCTAACTTTGATCAATTTAAAGATTTAGCGCAACCTCACCTATTGGCTTCAGTACTTACTGCTTACACCTGACGGGTTTAACTCAACAGGCCACATCTTCTGATGATGAATCCCATAACAGGACAAAATGGCCATCAAGCGCTTCTTAGTTTCTAATGATGGCCTAACAATGATTCATTCTTGATTTAAAGGTTAAATAAACGATCTCCATAATACACTAATTCAAAAGACTAACGATTTTTTTTCGAACAGATATTAATTGAAATGAATTGTTGTGTATAACTTTCATTAAGGCGTTTACTTCTTTGCCTTAATCTCTTAATTTTTTCATCAATCACAAATGTTTAGTGATTGATTAAATGAGCATTATTGTTATTTTTCTGGTTGGTATTTTTATTACGATGATTTTCTACGGAATGGGGTCGCTAACCCAATGCCAAACTCACCCCACTTATCCAGTCTTAGAGCTAACAGTAACCTTAGAAGGGCTCCAGGCAGAGTTAAGCCGTGCGCCGGCCGGGAGGTGAATAGCGATGAATAGGATTTATGAAAAACTGGAAAGACATGCCCAGAATAGAATTGGTCGAAGGTCTCTTCTGGTCAACAGCCTATACTCCACTGTTTGACAATAGCAGTCATCGTAATTCATAATTAATTGTGAAATAACAGGAATTAGTTTTATGATGCTCAAAATACAAGTAAGCTGTTCTTTAAAACATTACTTAACATGTGACTTGACGATCAGATTGAAAATACAATCTACTGTTGAATACTATTACAAATTGATCAATGTCCAATTAGCATCTTCTAATTCATCCTACCATACATACAGGAGACATATCGGAGCGTACAGCACGACTACTGAAAACATTTGGAATTGATGTGGCACACAAACCAACAGAATCACTTCAATCAATCGTATGTAGACCAAATGACAAAATGACAAAGGCAGAAAAACCAAATATCATCTACAAAATAAACAACTGTTCAGACTGTAAAAACCATTACATAGGACAAAGTGGACGGTCTCAGAAGCTTCATTTAAGTAAATACCAATTAGCAGTCAAACACCACGACAATTCTGGGCTTATATCAATACACACTGACAATTATGGACATTAATTCGATTGGGACAATGTAGAAATAGCGGATAGGAGGAGGACAAAGAACATGAGAGAATTTTTAAAAGCTTATTAATCAGGTCAATCAGCAATCGACAAACACATCGACATTGACCCAATTTACCAACCAAACCGAAAAATCATAAGTGACATAGGATCAAGAAAGAGATAAAAAGGGGAATACAATCAAAATAAAGGTGCTAACAACGACACGTTTAAGGTCAACAGTAACCAGTCAAGATCGAGTTTAGCAGAACAAGCTACAGGTCAAACGTGGAGAAATTCGAATACTTCACTTCTCGATCTGAAGTTTTTGTTGATGATGTTGTTCAGACGAAGAACAATGAAAGCTTCACAACCAAAACAATATCCAGCTCAGAGAACGAAACACCACCATCACAATCTAATTCTACAAAATAAAACAGCGTGTTTAGTCTACTTGAAATGTGGATTTTGAACTACAAGGGATTTCACTGTTTCTCTGTATTGCATATTTTCATAAGTACCATGAAAAAACTGAATGTTGAATGTTCCAAACGTTGTTACCTGAAACAATATGATTACTTACCGAACGACCATCCCATAAACATACAGTTTTATCTGATGAACCAGTCACTAGAATATTTCCATACGGTAGAAATTGAATGGAATTCACTGATTTACTATGCCCCCTAAGTATTGTACAACATGATGTTGTTGTAGATTGTGTGTTTAATAAATCTTTATTCATTTTATATGACATCAATGCATGTTCAACATTCCATAGACGTATGGTATTATCCATACCACAACTAGCTAAATATGCACCAGTCCAATGCCAATTCATAGACCATACAGCTCCAGTATGTTGACGTAGTACACCGATTCGTTTTGAATGATTCTGTTGTGATGATTTATCGTTGTTCAGGTCAATTTTCCATATCTAAAATAGAATTTAACATAAGTATATAGTTATGTATCGTGAGCAGCTTGATTATTACATAGTTTTCAGTTGTAACGTAGAACTTCGTACGTATGTACATCAGTTCAGAATGCCATACCACATTAGCACAGAGACGCAAATGTCAAATCAAATCCAAGAGTGATAGCAATAGTAGAGGTATTAATGGTGATGAAGAAGAAGAATAGGGTTTGAAGATATTACTCAAGAAGTATAATTCAGTGGGATAAGTTTAGAAAGACAAAGGTAGAGGTGCTCACGAATCCAGTAGGTTAGGATTTGAGCGAACACAAAGAATCAATGCACCGGCGCCATTGCAAACGATTTTCAGCTGTGTCATTCAAGGTCTCTAACCATTGGTGACTTTCGTCTCGCGGACCCCAACCAGGTAGTCTACATCTACCAACATGACTCAGTCCACTTGTCAGTGATTTCATGGATTTCTGCCATGTTTTGGTCTGGCCGCCCCTAACTTTCTTCCAACCTACTCCTACACTACAAAACACAGCTCGTCGAGGCAGTCGGTGGTTAGGCATTCGTAACACATTCCCCAACCAACTCAATTGATAAAGTTTCACCACTTCATCTATTGATCTGCCATCCTTACCTAGTACTTGTTTCCTAACGACAGCATTGCTTACTCGGTTGTCCCACGATGTACGCAGTAGCACTGAACATTATAAATCCATCACATATGATGACCGATAAGAACTGTGACTAGTAGTAACTTTCAAATAATTCAGTAGTTTCTCATTTTAAACAAATGTCATCAACATTGATAAATGAGTGATATTTCGCCTTTTTTATTTCATGTAAGTGTGTTTCAGAAATCATTTTGTTTATCACTAACTGTACTCATAATCATTTTTTGAAGTTTATAGGGATTTTTTTTTCTAAGAAAAATAAGAGTTTCAATATAATGAATCAAAGATTAAAACTTTACTTTTTGCGTTGAGGAACTGTAAGACTGTTATGAAGCTACAGTGACCTCTAGACAGCATGATTCATGCAAGAAAAGTTCAATTAATTGTGTTATGATGTGCTGTGTCAAGGGTCTGAACATGATATTTGCTAAGCCGCCCTATAAAAAACTGACTAATTGAACAAGAAAGCAAGAGCAGAAGAGAAAATCTAATTGTTTACTGAATCATATGTATAAATATTTGTCTGTAACTCACTTCCTTATACAACGAATCTAGTTCTTGACCAATGGATATGTATTCGTCCTTTCAGACATTTCTAATGGCCATCAAATGGTTTATCTTTGTTTAGCCACTGCTGACTAGCTCATTACATTAACGTGTATTAAATGACTTGCTTTATCTCTGTTTGTATGTATCAATTCCAAGAATTGTTGTTCTTTTGTCGACTTCAATCCATGTAACTGATTGATCTGGTTTTTGTTAGCTTACTCACTTTGCTTAAGCCTGTTACCTCTAGTGTGGTGCGCGCTGCTTATAAGTAGTATATGACGCGAGTAAAAACGTAACGTCTGGCAGTAGAAGTTGGGGGAAGATCAAGACAGGAAGAGTGGAAACACAATGGGATTTTTATGAAACGCATGAACAGTGAAATGTCAGACAGTGGATTGATGTTTGCAACAGGAACAGTCTAGTTCGACATGATGGATTGATATTTTGCACATTAACGATTTACGATATGATTTTCCTATTTTACAAATTAAGTCTGTAATTTGAGATAAATACAATTCGGTTGCCTTAACCTGTGTTCTCGTTCACTACACTAGTAGATCATAGGCTAACGACCACCATTCTCCAGCCTACTCTGTCCTGGGCTTTCGTTTTCACTTCTGTCCAATTTTTGTTAATTCTCCTCCTGTTTGCTTCCAATTCTTGGTGTAATGTGTTCTTTGGTCATACTCTTTTACTCTGGCCTTGAGGATTCCAGGTGAGGGCTTGTCTAGTGGTGCCGTTTGGTGCTCTCTTCAATGTATATCCTATCCACCTCCTGAACTTTCACTTAATTTCTTCCTCAGCTGGAGTCTGGTTTGTCCTCTCCAACAGTAGGTTGTTGCTGACGCTGTCTGGCCAACTTATCCGAAGTTTTTTTGGTAGAAAACTTTTAATAAACAATTGTATCTTACGGAAGATGACCTTTCCTGGTTCTCCAAGTTTCTATCCCATACACTAGAACTGTCTTGACATTTTTATTGACAGCTGTGACTTTAGTGTTTTTGTTTACTATTTTTGAGTTGCAGATATTGTTCAATTGTAGAAATTGCCAATCCGCGCCTTCATATCTGTATCATATCCGCCTTACTCATAAGTGCGGCATTGTTGTCACAGTTTAATCGTTCAGCTTGGAAAATAATAATATTAACGGATATTTCAGTTTTCTTTTAAGTTGATCATGACAAGAATATAAGATTGTGAATATTTCTGAGTTTCCGTAAATTCGAGAATTGGTCACTGTTAGATTACCGTTAAAAACACCGAATCAACAGACAGCCGCTTCATCCTACTGCCGGACTCAACAGATATGCTCATCTACGGCTCCGAAAGTGGGAATCGAACCCAGGACATTCAGTCTCGGCTGCGAACGCTCAAACTCTTAACTACTGAGCCGGCATTTCTCTGTGCTAATGTCTGACTTCAATCAATGCACGATATCGAGCAACTATATTTCCCTGTCTTTAGGCATCAGACATTAACACCGCAGGATCAGTAGTTAGAAGTTTGAGCATTCAAACACGAGAGCGAATATCCTGAGTTCAATTCTCGCTTGCGAGTCCATAGCCGTGCATCGCTGTTGAATCCCATACTGGCAGTAAAATGGCCGTACAGTGATTAATGTTGATCATAAACTCAATGAAGCTCATCACAACCCTTTAATGATAATCAATAATTCATTTTCAATATAAAAAAACAATTTATTGACTATTGAACAAATAGAGCTAGCTCACTTGAATAAAACCTTTAGCATAACCTGTAGCTAATAATTCATCATGTGGATGAAAATCAATTGATGATATCCAATCCGATGTGGTTAGTTTATATTCTATTAATAATTCTAATTTTGGAATTTTCCATAATTTCCATGATTTATCATCCCCGATTGAACATAACCATGATTTCTTTGAATGTATAGCTAATCTAAATAAATAATAATAATAAAGTGTTATATTCATTTGTAATGAATAGAAAGTTAAATATCTGGGAAATATATATATATATATATATATATATATATATATATATATATATAAGCCATCATTGGAAACCTGGAAGGACTGGACGGCTGTTTCGTCCTGGCATGAGACTCCTCAGCAGTGCGCATTCACGACTCCTGCAACACCCAAGATTCGAACCCAGGACCTTCGGCATCGTGCGCGAACGCCTAACCATCGGACCACTCAGCCGGTATCTAAAGGTGTTAATGTCTAACTTGATCAATTCACGAAGTTGCGCAACCTCATACACTGTCTTCGGTAGTTACTGTCTACACCCGAACAGACTGAACTTCAGTGATCACGACTTCCCTCTAGAACTTGGAGATACCGGCTCAATGGTCCAGCGATTAGACGTTCGCGCACAATACCGAAGGTCCCGGCTTCAAATCCTGTGACGTACGGGAGTCGTGGATGTGCACTGCTGAAGAGTCCCATACAAGGACGAAACGGCCATCCAGTGCTTCCAGGTTTCTAATGGTAGTCTAACATTGATCGATTCATGATTTCAAATATGTAACTTAACAATCTTCACAACTCCTTAATACAATATATATAACTAGAAATGGTTAGAATTATGTTGTTGTTGCTGATATTTAGACTGAATTCCGATCAGTTTTGGTTCATATATATGAATATATATGGATATCCTGTGCGGAGAGCCCTAATGGTGATTTAAACCAAACAGCATTGTGTTCGAGTCTCGGAGTGCACATTATCAACTCTGAAATGAAAAGTATAGTTAGTTGATGAGACTGAAGTAAGACGAAAACACATCGTGAACTATACTATTAGCAACATTTTATTTATTTTATAATGAAATAGAGATGTGAGAATTCGGTTTTTTATTTCTCAAAAAATTCTTAAAAACTAGATTAAAATGAAGCATGAATTTAGGATCTTCGATACACTATGCTCGTATATGTGTCTACAATATCTTCTAAACATAAATTAATGTAAATTTTAACCCCAGGAGTTGTCTATTAGAAACGTGACAGCACTGGAAGATGTCAGTTTTGTTCCAATATAGGACTTATCAGCGGTGCGCATCCACGATCCCTGCTCGAGAGACTTAGAACTCAGGACCGCCGGTCTTGGGCTTAAAGATTTAACTTCCACACCACTGAGCCGGCATCCATCAATGTTATTGTTTAACTTTGATCAGTCCAAGGTATTGCGCGACCTCACCTATCTTATTCAGTGAGTAACTGCCAACACTCGACAGGATTAATGAAAATCATAATATTTTTCGCTTGCTTTTAGGTATTCTGATTTATATGACAGAAAATTTGATTAGTATTCCACAAGTGACTAGCATATTTAAGCCATGTAAAATAAATTGAAGGGTTTTTTTAAAAGAGTAAATGTAATAAGACCATAACGATTATTTAAGTCTATTTTATTTTAAGTCTATTTTTATCCACGAGGTTTGACTTACTCTTGATAAAACTGTAGTAATTGTATTTTCTTATTCTTCCTACTACTATCAGTACACCTGTCTTCCTACTATCAACTTGTAATTAGCTATTATTTTACAAAAATTAAACTTGAACTACATACTAATTCTTTGTGTAGTGAACAGTAAAAACACACATTCAAACCAGACGCGACATTGTTTTTAGATCACTGGCTATGCGGATTTTAAATATTTTGGGACAGAGTTTTGGAGGTTTGTGTTTTTACACATTTGAAATCATCAATCAATCATTGTTAGACCACCACCATTAGAAACCTGGAAGCACTGAAAGACGGCCGTTTCGTCCTGGTATGGGACTCATCAGCAGTGCGCATTGACGACTCCTGCACCTCACAGAATTCGAGCTCGGGACCTTCGGTATTGTGCGCGAACGCCTAACCATCGGACTACTGGGCCGGCATCCGATGGTGTTAATGTTCTAATTTTGTACAGTTCATAACTTAAACTATGACTAAAAACACTAATCAGTAGTTAAATTGTCACATTGGAAACCACCATATTTAAGGTAAAAATTATTGATTTATCAATAAAAAAATTCAGAGCAAAGTAAATCTTTCTTTTTCCACACACAGTGCTTACTTGCTAACAGCTGCATTATGTGCACGTATACTCATGTCCAATTTTCTATTGTCTAAACGTGTAAATTTATACGCATGATTTGTCAATTTTGCTAATAATGGATTCATTTTATAATCAGTTGATAAATCACAAAATCCAATCTAATGAAATGAAAAAAGAGAAAGAAATTGTTTTAGCATTCTTGAGCATTTTTGTTTCAGACAACAACAAAGATTAATATGTAAGATTTATAATAAAATGATTAGGGATTGTGTCAACTGTATACTTATTTATTAAAAGTGCAAAACATGAATATAGTCTCACAGCTGTCTTCCAGGAGAGTTACTATTTGACTTGGATAATGCAAATGATCTAGTTTTGTGTTTTGGTGAAGACGTTGACAAAATGCAGAGTCTTCTGACCACCCAAAGTAACAATGTTAGCATATATTCTTGGTATACGTTAAGACTAACGAGTAAGCAATGCTGTTGTTAGGAAACGGGTTCTAGATAAGGATGACAGATCAATAGATGATGTGTTGAAATTGCATCAGTTGAGGTGGTTGGGACATGTATTACAAATCCCAAACCACTGACTCCCTTGATGAGCTGTTTTGTGATGTAGGAGTAGGTTGGACCAAAGCTAGGGGTGGCCAGAACAAAAACATGGCACATATCCATAAAGTTACTGAAAATCAAACTGAGTCATTTTGATAGGTGTTGGTTATGATCCGTGAGATAATCACAACTATTGACTGAGGACTCTGAATGACATGCCTTATAATCGGTATAATGGCGCAGGTGCATCGGTTCTGTGCCTTCAATGATTGTCTAATCTTCGTGATTCCTTAAGACTTTTTTCGCTCATTAAAAAATTTACTTACATCGGGTAGTGCTGTTGGAATCATATCTCCTATTCCTGATCTCTTCGATTACCATTCTTACTACTACTACTGCCACTACTACCACTACTACTGCTACTACTTATACAATTTATTAACAGAAATGCAGACACAGCAACCTCATGACGGACAGTCTTTCGGATGGCATCTTTTTATATTTTAGAAATTCTTGTAGTTTTATCCAATTTTTTATTGACCTGATCATACGTAAATAGATGAGCTGCCTAAATTAATAACTGCATTTTTATTTGTTTACTGATTTGCACCCACCGAAGACAGGTGGGTGAGGTTGCACAAAGTCCTTAAATTGATCAGAGTTAAACATTAAGCCGTTGGATGCCACCCCAGTGGTTCAGAAGTTAGGAGTTAGCTCACAAGACCGACGGTCCTGGGTCACATTCCTGCGAGTGGCAGGAGCCGTGGATGCGCACTGCTTATGAGTCCCATACCAGGAAGAAACGTTCGTTCAGTGCTTCCAGGTTGCTAATGATGGTCTAACAATGATTCATTTATGGTTCAATGTGTAAAAGCAATAATCTTGATAAATCTTAATGAAAAGTCGGAATCTTTGTCTCGAATCCTATAAATGCTATAGGCTGGTATCGTATCCGGAGCTCTAGAAACATTCTACAAATCTTTAGTTTTATTATATTACATCTGGACAAATATTTAATGAATTTCGAATCAGCTGATGGTTTGCATGCTTGTCTAGACATTTGTTAAGACAAAACACATGATTCTGAGATGGTAGAAAGAAAATTTATAACTCAGGTGAATGATTATGGTGGAGTTTTATCCTCTGTGCTGGATAGTTTTGTGATGTAGCTCCCATTGTTCACTGGAACACAACATCATCAGCACACGTTTGTGTATAGACGTCTTGACAAACATATATCTGAAATCATCAATCAATCATTGTTAGACCATCATTAGGAACTTGGAAGCACTGGACGGCTGTTTCGTCCTACTATGGGACAACTCATCATCAGTGCGCATCCACAAATCCTGCACCTCACGGGATTCGAAACCAGAACCTTCGGTAATGTGCACGAACGACTAACCATCGGACGACTTGGTCGGCATCCAATGGTGTTAAGTCTAACTCTGATTGATCTAGAGATTTTGCGCGACCTCACCCATTTGTCTTTGGTAGTTACTGCCTACACATACCCGACAGGGTTGAACTCCATTGGTCACGTCTTCCCAAGTAGAACTCGGAGAATCTCCTCACGGAGCTAGTCACTAGTTAGCACGGTTACATTATTTTCGGGCAGAGTATTGGAGGTTTGTGTTTTTAAACATTTGAAACCATCCAAAAACCTCCAAAACTCTGCCCGAAAACATATATCTGACCAAACTGTTAAAAATGTGTAAATGCAGATAGATTACTTTCTTTTAGATCAGTTCATTGTCTGCTTCGTCTAATCAAAATTTAGAAAAAAGAGCCTATTGGTTCGAATTAAGTTTTGCTATTAACCTATACTTTCTATCCCTGGATTTAGGTTATTATTTTCAAAATATATTACCAGAGTTAGGTATTTTCTTTTTCTGATATCGCGAACCAGTTAAATTTAGATAAGCGTTGAAAACCTGGAAGCAGTGAATGACTGTTTTGTCCTAATAAAGGGCAATGGGTATAC